TCGATCGACCATTTCACGGGGGTCGCCAAGCAAGGCTGTCCGCCATTTTTTTTTTCCTTTTCCGGCGGGTGCCTTACCTCCCTTGAGCTGGGCCAGCTGGTGGTCGGCCTGCTCCGTCTCTGCCACTTGCCAGCTACGCCTCGGCCGGTGCAGGGGGCGGAACCACGCATGCGCGGCGCTCCCGGGCAGGGAAAGTCCTTGACTTACGACCAGTTTAGTCCTCGACTTACGACCGGTTTAGTCCTCGACGTACGACCGGTTGGGGGTCGCGGCATTAAAAAGGTTGAGAACCACTGCTATAGAAGGAGAATCTTGTTAAGCAATGGTGACATCCAGACCAGAAGAAAAAAAACAGAAGAGATATTTTGCTATTAAGCAATATTTTTTTTACATAAGGAAAATCTAAACGTAATAATTTTCTGAAGTTCCAGTTTAAAAATTAGTGCTTATTGTTGAATTGAGGGTGCCAAACCAGAACCTCTCTTATTGCAGCATAAGAAGCAATGACGAATATTACATTTCAGTTCATGGACAGAAAAGCCACCATATCAGATAAATGATGATGTAACTGCTAATTACACAAGCCATGGGATGTCATTGTGTCATGGGCTGGTTGTCTCTGTTTTTGCAAGCTTCTAAGCCTCCCCAGGATTCGGGAGGCTGCCTTCATTTCTTCTTTTAATTTCGACACGAAACAATCCTGCCTTATCCAACTTGGTGGCCACCAGAATTAGATCTCAACCTACTTCATTCTCTCGGAACGAAATCCCAAACATCTGAAGAGTGTCAGGTTGAGGAAAGGTGATGCATGAGAACTCAGTAGAGTTTCCTAAATCATCGTGTTTTGCTGTCTTTTAGTTCTTCCTCGACAGATCTAACAAGCTTTTTTTTTTATCTTGGTGATCATAAAGAAGAACCCGTAGATCTAATCTACATTTAAACATTTCCTAAACCAGGGCTTTTCAACCTTTTCACCCATTGTACCACTTTTAGGATATGGCAATATCCGAGTACCACCAGTCACCTAGCAAGGTGTCAAAAACTTGATGAGCAAAAAAAAAGGAAAAAAGTGATAAAGTACAGGTAGTCCTCGACTTATAACAGTTCGCTTAGTGACTGTTCGAAGTTACAGTGGTGCTGAAAAAAGTGCCCCCCAAGCCACAAGCGAGAAAGACACCTGCCTGCCCGCCTGGTGGCGCTCTTCCTCCTGTCCGAGGTTTTCATTGTTGTGAGCATTTCTGTTGAGGATTGGCAGCGGGGGTGGGGTGGGGGGTGTTTGGTTTTTATTCCCCCCGTCTGCTGGGTGTTTGCAGCAGGTTTTGGTCACTTCACATGACCCTGGGACACTGTGACCGTCATAAATATGAATCAGTTGCCAAGCATCTGAATGTAAATCACAAGACCCTGGAGAGGCTGCAACATTCCAGCTGATCGGCACTTCTTCTGGGCTCAGCAGAAGCACCAGGATCAGTGCTGCTTTCCAGCTGATTGGTGCTTCTTCAGGGCTCAGCAGAAGCACCAGGATCAGTGCCGAGCTCCAATTGGAGCCTGGTGCTGATCCTGGTGCTTCCACTGAGCCCTCACTGCCCTGAAGAAGCGCCGATCAGCTGGAAAGCGGCACTGATCCTGGCACTTCTGCTGAGCCCTGACAGCCCTGCAGCTCCAGCTGTCTCTCGCTCAGGGTTGTGCGGTGCTGCCCCAGTTCAGCTCATTCCCCTCCCCTGCTACCACTTTTTTAGGATGGTCGCGTACCACCTGCCAGGTGCCAATGTACCACAGGTGGTACCCGTACCACTGGTTGAAAAGCCCTGTTATCTAATCCAATACCTTCTGGGTATCTTGGGTGCTCAACCCCCAGAATTGTACATTATTGGCAAACTCCTCCAGACCACAAGAGATAAACAAAGTTTTTGAAACCAAAAGGCTGAGAGTGAGGAGGACAATTTCTCTTCTCGTGCCTAATGGCTTCACCCCTACAGTCCAAATACAGCCGTACTCTACGTCTTCATTTTCAGTATTTTGTAGCTGCTATGCCAGATTAACCCCGGCTCAGTCACAGTCCAGCCAAAAATGCTGTGAATCCTGTTTTCCCCAAAGGTTTTAGCAAGAATGGTGTATAACCGAGATCCGGGAGCGACACTTATTTACTACTGAAAATTTCTTCAGGGAAACGTG